CTTGTGGATCATGAAAACTTTGGGTTTCTCCATGTTTCTGCCTTGACAGCTAGAAAATTCATCCCCTACCATTCATTCAAGTTTTACAAGACTAAGAAGGACATAAGCAGCTTCTATAATCCTCATGGTCTTAGAAGAGAATGCCTCTTGCATTCTTCCAGTTTGCATTTGCAGGTAGTGACTGCACTAGACCATTTCCTGCTTCCATAAGTGTATTGTTTTATTTATTATGAGCCTGTAAACTAAATTATACTTTTAATAATTCACGGAAACCATTAAAAATAAGGCCTTCCCAAAACAGCTAAAGACATTAAATACATCCACATACAAAACTTTTTAAGGAACTGGAAAACGAGTAAGTGACTCTCCTCCCTAACTAAGGCAGAAAGGTAAAGAAGAAAGCCTAAGCTGCTTGGAGTTGCTAACTGTCTTCTGAAAATAAGTTTAGGCCTTAAATGTAACCAGTCTGCAATGCCTTCTCCATTCAGTTAGGAAAGGAAACTTTATGCTTTCTGGGCCAAAAAAAAATGCTCTTAAGCGCAATCATTTTAAAACAAACAAACACACTCTGCTTATCTGTGTCTATCTCACCACTCTGAACGTTAATCATCACTGAAATAGATACCCTAGTCCCCCAGCCTCAAAGAGCTCCAAGGCTACAGGACCCGCCAGAGGAATGAATGTACATGCCAGGGCAAACACCTCAGGAGCCTCACTGCCTAAACACCTATTGTTAATTCTAGGCAAATCTATCACAGGCATATATGCAAGAGAGCACCCAGGTACTACTCAAAGGATATTTAAAATAAAATTCCTGTTTGAAAATATGTAGCATTTAATTTGGGAGGAAGGAGAGCAAGTAAGCTTTAACATAAGACTGGCAAAAATATTTTTTTTAAAATAGGTTTACATGCAGAGGTACTTTTTTCTTTCCATTCTTTGCTCTTGTTTATTTTCAGTATCAGAATTTGCAGACAGAATCTCTGTTCTTCCCTCATCATACTGTCTACTTCTTGCATGAAGCTTAGATTATAAACTGACAGCTCAATTTCACTGTTTTAAGTTCTTGTAAACTAAACTAGGTTAGTTTTCCTCCCTACTCTTTAGGGAAAATTTAAAAGATTGGCGTATGAAACAGTTCCTTGACTTTTACTGTTATAATCAAGATATTACCATTCCATCAGGCTTCATAAAACCTTCGAACAAAACTTATTTTAAATCAGATGACTGACTCAAACTGTTAATATTTTTGTGTCCTCTTTAAAAAAAACTGCTCAGGATACCTACTAGTGTTCACTGGGCAAGAGGCCTAAAGGGAAGCAAATTATTTGTTTGTGGTTTTAAAGTGGCCAAAATGCCTTCAAGCACAAGTATAAGACCATTAGCAAATCAGAAGGAACCGAAGCAGTTCATCTTACTCAACAAAGCTATGATCACTTAGGAACGGGCAAACTGAAGGGGCTTGCCCTAGGCCGGAAGGTCAGTAAACCTTAGCAGTTTGTGTTTCTGAAAATCAAGAGGCTCTTCAGCAGGGAGCACAGGCCCTAAGCCCACAGGTTCTGCTGTCATGTTTCCAAAAACATTCAGGACAGGTGAGAGAAACTAAGAGGAGAGGGGGAGAGGGAGAGGGCAAGAGGATAAGAGAGAGAGAGAGAAAGAAAAAGAGAAGTCTTTTTTTTCCCCCCTTCTGTCTTTAGGCAGCACGTCTGAGTCAAGCCATCCTCAATTTTTTTTTTTTTTTTTTGCTATATACACACTGGCTAGAGGAGAAGCCAAGCAATTAAAAAGTTCCATTTTACAACGATTTATTGAGTGGTAATCATGTGCTGAACACTGTGCTAGCTAGCACTCTACGTTTGAGTCTCATTTTACTGGGCAATGTTATTCCCGTTCTTTATAGATAATAAAACTCAGGGCCAGTGAGGTTATGTGGCTTCTGATAAAATCAAGTTTTGTGTAGTGCTTAAAACAACTTACGTTGCTTATCCAGTCTGCAGTTAATTAGCCCAAACCATGAACAATAACTCTGCTACCCTCCAAGCAGCCATACTCTTGCTGTACTTCGGGCCCAGGCTCCCTGATGCCTTAACAGGACTGGGGTGCATGACTTCTCCCTCCAGGGATGACAACCACCTCTCTTAGTGGCTTATTAAGTCTCTGCAGCTGTCCAGAAACAGACCACATTGGTAAACACTCTCTCCACCTGCTGTAACACACATAACTTCTCCCTTCAACCCAGAAAACCTGAGCAGTGACCCTGCTCTTTATCAAGTGCTATGGTAAAACAACTTCCCTAGAAGGCTGGGGATACCTCACCCAGACACACCCGGACACAGGCGAGAAATCAAAACACACGTGTCTAATAAATAATAAAGCCATAATTTCATTTGGCAGTCTCAAAGCATTTTACACTATAAACTCATTTTCATTTTGTTGTTATTATTGCTACAGAACTCATTCCCACTAGCTGTCTTTTAGAGCATTTAAAAAGGAAACAAAAAGAAACATCAATTCTTTCATTCATTCATTCAATCTCTATGCAAAGAGAAAGAAGCCAAACTTTGCCTTGGCTGACTTGGGTTCCAGTCATTTTAGCCAATTTCTCTTATAGGTCAACTGGTAATATGCTTTGAGAGATTATTCTTGTAAGAAAGAAAAAAAATTCTATTTTTGCAGATGACAAGACCGTAAGCCCAAAGTCCCAAGGAATCATTATCATCAACAAAATCATACTAGAATTAATAAAGAGTTAAGCAAACTGATCAAGTTCAAAATTTACAAAAGATTATAGCAATTGTATACACCAGTAATACGCAGCCAGAAAACATACTGAAAGAGATGGCATTTGCGATAAAAATGAAATGCATAACATAATAAGAAATACCTAGGAGTTAGTGCAACAGATATGTGAGAACTTTATAATGAAAACCACAAAAGTCCTCGGACGGGCACAGAATGGTTTTTGGTGGGGAGCTCAGAAATGTAGACATGACACACACACATAAATCCAATAGGGTTAATCTTACCCTAAAAGATACTAGACTCTATCAAAAAGCAACAATATTTAAAATAGTATGGGAATGGAGAAATATATCAGTGGAACAAAATGGAGAGTTCAGATATAGATCCAATATATGTATATATACCAACTTAATATATGGCAAAGTAAGCTTCCCAAAACAAAGGGAAAGAAAAATTATTTACCAAAGTTGTAGTGATAACTAGATAGCCGTTAAGGGGGAAAAAATGATAAGTTGAATTCACCTCTTGCACCAAAACAAAAGTGATATTGATGAAAGTGTTAACTATTAAAAAACCAAATTATAAGAAAACAAGTGGGAAACAGAAGGGATTTATCAGATCTGTGGAAGAATTACAAATTCCTCAGCTTTGGGGAAAAAAAAATCACAAAATATGGGCAGATTCTAATAGATTAAAGTGTAAAACTTCTATAGGATAAAAACAGTAAAGCAAAGAGAACTGAGAAAAATATGTGCATCAAAGATGACAAACTAGGGTCTAACATCTATGACCCACAAGGATTCCAAATTTATAAGAAAAACATCAAGACCCCGATAATAGATGGGCAAAGAGTAGGAAGAGACAATCTCACAGGTGAAACAAACACATGGGAAAATATTTATCGTGGCCTATGGTAAAAAAAAGATGCAAAATAACACAACTTTGAAATACCATTATATGCCCACTAAAGAAGCAAAGAATTTTTTAATTCTCACACAAAATTTGTTCAATCATCCTTTGCTGGTGCCACTATTACTTGGTACAACACCTTTCCAAACCATAACCATTGATCCAATAATGTCATTTTGAGATTTTATCCTAAGGAACTAATTCAAGAAATACATACAGTATGGTATGTGACTTATATCTCCATAAAGCTCTTACCCAAAAATGCATTAAATTATTCATTTAATTGTTATCTATAATAGCAAAAAGCTGAACCCAACATGAAAGTTTAATATTAGAGGGATGTTTTTAGTCGCATTATGGTACAGCCCATGAATATTTATTGTGCATCTATTCTGTTAAGATCAGTAGGGCAGCAACTATGAAGGGGGAAAAGTGTGCTCCTGAAAGTTTTTAAAAATGAAAATAGTCGTCTAGAGGTGTATTATGGCTTTTTGTTTTAAAAAACTTTCTTTAATGTTCTTACATTGTATTTGAACTACCTTTAAAAAAAAAAAAACAATTGGGTGGAGTAGGGTGAAATCTGCAAGCTTTTACTCCCCCAATTCCATACATATTTCCCCCTATTTAACTGCTTAAGTGGTTCAGGAAAGATTTTCCTTCACAGGTCTCAGACCCTACCAAAAACAGGCCAAATTGCAATACCACCCCTTGTACACAGCCTCCTGCCTAATCCAGCCTCCTGCCTCAAGCAGGCACCGTTTTTTTGTGTCGTTCTGCCTGTATCGAGTCATAAACTATATCTGACACTGGGACTAAGGGCCTTCATTTAGGGTCTGAGCCCTTTTCTCCACATTTGATTTTATCTGAGCCCTGAAATTTGACAACCTGTAGAAGAGGATGGGGAGGATACATGTCCACAAAAACATTCTGAGAGACCACTTAGTGAACCTGGGTCCTACACCTGGACTGGAGGAGTCGTCCCAAAGCATGAAGGAAGCACAGACAGCCTGGCTCCTCAGCGGCTAAAGAACCAGGGCACTCAAACGTCTGCAAAGACACAATTAAAAGCTGAAGGGAGTGCTTAAGATGGCTAATTGTGAGGAGCCGCCCACTGGGGAGGGTGCTGACTGAGGGATGCTCTTGTGAGGCTTCCTCAGATGGAGGCCTTGAAGAGCAGAGGCAATGGGATCCCCGAAGGTGCTCGGGAAGCGCTCTTGGCGGAGGCCAGGTGTAGGCCTCGGAATTCGTAGTGCGACACGACCCCGGGCCGACCAGGCCGCGGCGCCCGGCCCTTTCCCGCGACGCAGGCCGGCCCGGGGCGGGGAGCGGGCGGGCGAGCGGGCGCTTACAGGTCGGTGCCGAGCCGCGTGAAGCCGGAGTTGAGCGAGGCCCGGGCTATCCGGCGCCAGAGCAGGTCACAGCTGGTGAAGCGCCGCAGCCAGCGGCACACCTGGGCCAGGCGGCCGAGGGCCCGCATGTCCAGGTAGGAGCAGATGAGCAGCAGCAGCTCCTCCGGCAGGCGCCACAGCGCGGGCCCAGCGGCCGGGCGAGCGGCCGGCTCCCGAGCCGCCGACTCCTCCTCAGCCGCCGCCGCCATGGCCGCCCCTGTCCCCGCGATGCCGCCCCAAGCCTGACCTCCTCGTCCGTGTGATTTCCCCGGCCTAGCGTCTTCCCGCCGCCCAGTCCTAACCCTCCATTCCTCTTTCCCCTCATCTCTTTCTTGTGCCTCCTTCCCGCCCCCTGCACTCCCCTCATCTTCCTTTACGACGCCTCTCGCCCCTTCCTCCACGCTTCCGCCCTCTCCTTCCTTCCCCGGGCCTGTCTTCGCTCGTGCCTCAGCCCCCTGTCCCGCTGCCTCTTTCGCTTTCTGCGGCCCCGGCTTCCCTTCCGCCCCGCTTCCTCTTCCGCTTTGCCCTGCGCCGGCTTTTCCCTTCCCTTTCCCCTTCCTCCGCTTCCCTCTCGCGACCCTCCCTTCCTGCAGCTTCCTTGTCTCTCCGCCCTCGCCCTCACTGGGCCCGCCGTTCCCGGGGGTCCCTGAACGGCCCTGGCTACCCATAAGTGGCCGCGGGGCTGGCCCGACGCGGAGCCGAGCCCGAGCCACCGCCGCCGCCGCCCCGGGAGGAGGCGACACCATGTCGGACCGGGTCACATGGGGCGGCGCGGGCCGAGCCATGGGCCCGCCCCTCACACCTGCGGCCTTGGAGCCACCTTGGGGTGCGGGCCGGGGCCCAGGCGCTGACACCACCCTTCTATCCCTAGGAACGCTTAGTGGAAGCATATGAATTAATTCTTCAATCGTGTTGTGAGGCTGGCTGAAGGGCCCCACCTAAGGCCACAAGGGGACCCTTTGCCTTCTGAAGCGTCTCGTTGGAGCCCCTGCCCTCAAGAAGCGCCTAGTTGGGCGGTCTTCCCCCTGTCAGAGCATTCCCTTCTTCTTCCTCACATGATGCCTCTTTTCCACAGGCCACATACCAGGGCCCCTCAAACCAGCCCTAGAAGTTGACAGTTTCTGTAGGCCTGGTTCTCACACAGGGCGTGAACCACGGTCCTGACAGCGAGCTTGTATATGAGACATATTTGGGGAGGTTGCTGTCTTCTAGATCCTGAGTCCATAACTCCCAAAACAGTCATGTATCAGGAAATGGCAAAGCTTAGTACTTATTATTAGTCACTACCCAAGTGCAAGTTGATTCTTCAAGGTCACCCAGGATCCTTTCCCTATACTACCACCCACTCAATTCACATGGCACCAATCTGAAAGGAGAGCTGCTGTGGTCTAGACCTGTGCTGTCCAACAGGGTCCCCCCTAATCACATGTGGCTGTTGAGCATTTGAAATGTGGCTAGTCCAAATTGATGTATGTATGCTATTAGTGAGAAATACCAGATTTTGAAGATTTATACAAGAAAATGCAAAATACATCATTAATAATTTTATATTGAGTGTATGTTGAAGTGATAATATTCTGGATATATTGTATTGGGCTAACTACTATGTATTTTAATGTAACTACTAGAAAATTTTAAATTATACATGTGACTTGCATTTGTGGTTCATACTATTTTTTTATTAGACAGTACTGGGCTAGGCAGTAAGATTTGGAGGAGGGGAAGAAGATGCCTATCCCTATCTGCTTATCCTGTACCCCAAATCCAGATAGGAAGGAATTGAGGGGTTCCATTTATATTTATCTACATCTTAATACGCATTTTCAGGGAGCAGGAATGAATAAGAAATCAACTCTGAAAGTTATTCAACACCTAGCATAGCCAAGGAGAGATCTAGGGAAGCAGCGACATTGTACTATGGTGCTGCAGAAGCATCATGTAACAAGGTCAGACCGGAATCTGGCTTTGCCCTAGAATTACTTTTTGATCTTAGAAAAACAGCAACAAAAACCCCACCTATCTTGGCCTTTTAGTGTTCTCAGTCTATAGTGGAGATAATGCCTCTGCCTTACTTTTGAGGGATAAATGAGATGATCCCTGTAAAATGCTTTGAACTTCTCTAAGAAAATTCTCAATAATAGTTACAGGTCAAATCCTGTTACAAAAAAATAGTCTCCCCTCCCAAAAAAATGCAACAAAAGCTTTGTGTAGAAAACAATTTCCAAACTCCAGGCAGTGGTTTATTAAAAGCAATATTTTATACGTTACAGTATAACCAAAGAATTTAGATCATCTTTTAGAGATCATTAACCAGAAATATACTTATTCACAGGTATCATACTGTTAGGATACTATTGACATAGGAATACTGCAAACTGAGGTGATGTCATCATCAATTCAACATTTATTTATCTTGCTACATTTGTGTACTGTGAGCCACTCTGGAAGTGAGACAGAGATGAATATAGCAGGAATATATTTCCTGCATTTTGTGTTCAGATTTGTGTTAGACATGTTTGTGATATCTTACTGTTTGACTATTTTTTAACCCATTACACATAGTAAAGATTACACATAGTAAAGCTGAGTTCATCTACATTGTACATAGTTTTTAGTAGAGGACTTGAAGGCACAAAAAATTATTTAATTAAATAATTGAATACCCAACATAAGTCAGGATTAAAATCCACAATCACACAAGTGCAATTTACCCTAGACCCCATGTTGCCTTCATTGGTGAAGAAATTAAACCATTATTTAAAAACATCAAATCACCTCTTTCACACCCAAACTAGAGATCAGTTGAACTGCTTAGGCTAGAATTTATGGTGTAATGATTTCCAAAAAAGCCAAAGTACTCACTATGCAAGAAGAATAGCAAAGCCAAAATGGAAAATTGTCATATATTCTGATATTTGGTGGTGATATGTATTCCTAAATTCCCAAGCATTTGGAAAAAAACCAAAACTACAGCTTAGCCTCAGCTCAAAGAAGCAGCTAGAAGTTTTCATCAAAGATTCCTTCCTCTGGCCTCCAACAACAATAACAAAAATCCAGTTTGGGATATAAACCAAACTTTAAAAAACTACATCAGAAAATTCACTTTTAAAATTCTTTTTTGGGACAGAGTGTTAAAAAAAATCAACTATGGTCGAAAATATGAGTTTGTAATGAAGGTAAAGGTACATCTGGAGGACCCAAATAGCATTTTACTATCCAAGAAAATAAATATATTAATTGTCAGAAAAGAGGAAGATACAAAGAGTACAGTGGATTTCAGAACATCTTTAAGTAAAAGTCATCAACTTGAAGTTCATATCCAGGAATCATAAAATAATGTTGGGGGCCAGGTGCGGTGGCTCACGCCCATAATACTAGCAATCTGGGAGGCTGAGGTGGGAGGATTGTTTGAGGCCAGAAGTTTAAGACCAGCCTGAGCAAGAGCCAGATCCCATCTCAGAAAAAATTAGCTGGGCGTAGTGGCAGCCACCTGTAGTCCCAGCTACTCGGGAGGCTGAGGCAGGAGAATCACTTGAGTCTACGAGTTTGAGGTTGCAGTGAGCTATGATGATGCCACTGCACTCTAGCCAGGGTGACAGAGCAAGACTCTGTCCCAAAAACAAAAAGTTGGGGATGAAATCTACCTTTGGTTTTATAAAGGTTTTTATTAAAAAAAAAATTGAATTTGCAGATTAAACTGAAACATTAGACTGCTTTTAGAACATTAAAAACATGAAATTTATAATATATTAAAACTTAAGAATCAGTATGAATTTCATACTGGGTGTTTAGAAACACTAATATTAGTTTGCTTTTAAAGAGAGTTTTAAAAGGAGTTTTAAAAGTACAGATATAAAGTTATGTTAGTGTGTCCATGTAAGTGACATGCATAATAGTGATTGTTGCTGTTATAGGTAGTACATAATATATAATTAGGACTGTAAAAGGCTAGAATTTTGTGTTCTGGCCATTCTTATAAACATAGGTGACAGAATCTCAGACAGGAAATTATTCCCCCGTCCAGTACACTGGTGCCCTCATGCCCATTGGTTAAACCCTCAGACCCCCTTAGGAGTATGCAGATGATTTAACAAGGAAGGAAATTATTCTCAGATGAATGAGAGAGAAAGAGATTATTTTATGAATAACAGATTTCAATGTCATACATTGGCTCAGATGCTCACCATTATTCTTCTATAATAATAATAGCTTACATTTATTGAGCACTTACTGTGTGTCAGCCACTATGATAAGAGCTTTCCATGTATTGTCTTACTCATTCCTCTCAACAATCACATTAGGAAGACACAGTTGACCTGCTTTTTGCAAATGAAACTGAGACCTAGGGGTCATATTGTTACTAAGTGGCAGAGCAGTTATCAAATTTAGACAGTCTGATCCCAAAGCTTTTAGAATACTGAAACCATGCCTTTGCCATACACAGCAAAATATGGAATAAATATTGAATTCAAAGTCCTTTAAGATCTCTTAAAACTAATAAAGACATGCCTAATATTATACCATACCTCTGACCATCAAACAGTCCTGGTATCTAAATAAATGCTGATTCTAAGTGACTAAAGTAGCTCCTGTTCTTGTCTCAGTTACTTTTTAAGAGTGAGTCATGTAGACCCTCAACCTCTTACTGCTTTTCATAATCTTTTCGCAAAACTTTAAAGGGACTCATAGGAACTAATGTATGTTGCAAAAGAACATTTAAAGTTTGGTTATTCCTTCATTTTGCTTCAGCTTCATTTTCTTCTGTTAAATTTGGTAGCTATGTATGGTATATATTATATAAGAATTTTGTAAATTCAACTGTGTGGATATGTGCAAAGGAAGATTTTTGTGGAATAATGTTATTAATAATAGTTATTTCTAGGTGATAAGAATTTTTGGATTTTACTTTGTACTTTTCTGTATTGCTTTTTTTTAATAAGAAGCATGTATCAGCTTTACAAAATTAATAAAGTCTTTCATGAAGAAAAATAAAGTTGTCATAAGTCCAAACGCACCACGTGACAAGGAAGTTGGAGATTTGAAGCCTAAATCATTGCTGAAGTTTTTAACTAGCCTTTCATATTTGTTCAAACCTTATTTATGCCACTTAAAATGTGTTATCATGTAATGATAAAATAAAGAACAAGTTAGAATATTATTATTGGAAAGAAGAAATAAAAGGCCTCACAGTGAATGCTGTATTTGTAAACATTCAAGCTTCTAATAAATAGCAAAATAGAGTCTAAAATGTTGTTTTCAGAAATTATCAGGTTGGCAGTTTATATTCTGAAATACCACCAAGATCTCTGTTTTTACATGAATCCATCATCTTTACCACGTTCAAAGATAAAAGTATTTTTATTTCATATGAAACAATTTCAAGCAAGTACTGTTTAAAAATAGTTACTTTATGCAGAATAGAAAAGACTGGAAGGAAATACAACAGAATGCCAGATATGGTTGCTTATGAGAGGTGGAATTGTGAATAGTTCTGTTTGCTACTCCTTTACACTTTTCTGCATTTTCTAAGTATTCTGCAGTGAGCATGCATTAATATAGATAATCATATTTTCAGAAGGAAAGAAACCTAAGAGGTATTTACATCTAAGTGTAAGAAATAATTGAATTAAGCTATTTCATTTTAATTTTTTTTTTTTTTTTTTTTTCTGAGACAGAGTCTCACTTTGTTGCCCTGGCTAGAGTGCCACAGCATCAGCTTAGCTCACAGCAACCTTAGACTCCTGGGCTCAAACAATCCTTCTGCCTCAGCCTCCCGAGTAGCTGGGACTACAGGCATGCACCACCATGCCCGGC